GTTGGTGGTTTTTCTTTGGACGCTGTCTCTCCCATTGATGGTGGTGGCAGGAGTTTGGGTTGATGTCGATTTTACTTTGGGTGGTGGTGTTGGGGATCGTCTTGATATATATTTCCCTTTGGATGGTAGAAGTGGTGGGCTTGTGTAGTTTTTTATTGTTGCAGGGGAAGTTGTGGTGGGGCTTCTGTTGATGTTGATTGTCCTATAGGCAGCGGTTGTGGGGTTTTCAGGGTTGATGTCTACCTACCCCTCTGTGGTAATGGTGGTGGGGCACGTGTTGATGTTGATTGCCCCGCAAGTGGTGGTGATGGGGATTTTGATACCTACTGTCCTGTAGAGAGTGCAGGTGGGGATTATCTTAGTGTTGATGTCGACTTTCCCTGAGGTGTTAGTGGAGGTGGGACTTATGTTGTTGATTGACCTATGGGTAGTGGTGGTGGGATCGCCCTGACTATAATTGTCCTGTGGACCGTGGACCAGGGATTCTATTGATATTGGTTGTCCTGTGGGTGGCGGAGGTGGAGGGTGTGGTGACTTCGCTTCGTTACCGTTTTCAGTTTTCGTTGTGTTATGGTGACTGTCCTGTGGGTTTTGATAGGGGTGATGTTGACGGTGGAAATGGTACTGGAGACTCAAAAGGTGTTTTCAGTATCAGGCGTTATCTCCGTCTAGATCATCTTGAAAATGCAAGTGTTGATTGGGATGGGAGTGATCGTATCAACTCCTCTTAGTCATCTCCTGTGAAACAAAGCTGATACAATCAATTGCGTTTCGTAAATTAACAAACAAATTTATAAGATGACGCCCGAGTCTCAACTCCTTTCGGCTTCATCACATTGAAAATTTGCCCAACTCTACCAAGGACCAACAATATGAAATGCTTTACCACCTTCATTTACCACTTTTCTCAGTTTATCTTCGTTCAAAAAAAAGCTCCTTGATTTTATCAATTATTAATCAAAACACAAAACCTCTAAGCCCTAGAGTTTCCATAAGTCCCCTCGCCAGTTAATTCATATTTTAAAATTATTTTTTGTAAAGTGATAAGAGAAATCAAAGTGATATTAATCGCACAGGATAATCAATCTCACAGGAGTATTATTTTCATTGTGGTGAAATTTGCCCCAAATAATTTGTGCTTGCTGTTGCCTTTCTGAGCCCGTACATACTTTTGTTACTCAGATCATCAGATAGAATCTTGTTAAATAATTCCTTTATTACATCGCTTTAATTTCTATCACCAACTGCAACCCTTAGTGCGAACCATCAAAATTACAAACAAGAATACTAGAAAACGAGTACTTGAACTAGAATGATAGAATGTATCCAATCCAGCGATCACTCTGCTAAGGATCTTACGAAATCAATCAAAATTAACAAGGAATAAAGCATCTACTTGGCAAACGCTTGTCGTAGCACAGGCGACCCAAATTCCAGCTGTGAGATGATCATCTTGCGCAAAAACAGTCATGACGGAATTATAAGAGTTTGTATGGGAATATTTACGACCGCTCAAATGAACAAAAAATACGTCAGATTCTCAATAAAAATACCTCGCCTTACTTCCGCAACGTATCGCTTGTTATCTGACCGCTAACTTTGATGAAAAGAACCCATTTCAGCGAGTTGTCCATTTAGAGGTTTTCAACGTACATAAGAAATCAAAGGAAACTGTGAATAAGTCGTAGATACATTGCGCTTGAATGAGTTTTGAAGATAATTAAATTCCAATGGGTGACTCCTGGATACAGCTGAAACTTCTTGGTATTACTTTGAGCAGCTGGGGTGATGTTGGGTGAATGGTCAGAGTTCACATTTTAGCTATCGGTCAGTACAAAATACAGACTGCAAACCGGGTACGAAATGCAGACTAGGTACAAAATGCAGACTGCAGATTGGGTACAGAATGCAGACTGGAAAGTTTGAAAACTGTTATTTCGTCTGATACATGATAACATACGTCATCTTACAACTTACCGAGTGTCACGCAATCGCCTTTTAGCAATCACTTACATGTTAATTTGCACTATTTAAACAATAGAGTGTTTCTGTCGAGGAACTATCGGCTATAGTTGCCCCCCGGAAATTTGATGTTCTTAAAAAAATATTTGCCCGAAAAGCGAAGCTTCTAACTAACTTCGCGGTCCTCAAACCATTAATTTTTTTTTCTTTAAAAATGNAAAAAAAACAGCTTTTGTATGTGTTTCGAACTCTTCACCTTTTAAACCGATATGAGTGTATTTTCAATTTGTTGACAAAAATGTAGACTTCGACCAAAACTGTTCCTTCGACTTCATATATTTTTAACGTTCAAGGATATACACACACTGATTTTCACAAATTAATGTCTGCGTTGTCACCAAACAGACGAGACTAAAACCATCAGAAAAATAAACAATTGACCAGTCAACAACACTTCACTTTCCAATATAAAATTTGTCGGTTACTCATTTTAGCGATATATAACGATATAAATACTGACGGCTCGCAGTGAGAAGAATGAGGGCTTTAAATTGTATTTAAGAACGATTGTGACCTGGACGCTTTGTTACTAACAATACATACCCGGGAACGGCGAGGACTATTCCACAATAATGCAAATGATGGCGAAAGATGATCGCGGAAAAGCGATTGTATTAAGCATCTTCACTCATAGTTACACCTTTAGGGTTTCAAAGAGCTTTATTTCGGTTACACGTGTGTATAAAAAATTTCTAACTTGGAACTGAAATAACTACACGAGCCGTAGATCAAGTGTGTAATTTATGCATAATTTCCCTATCAAGTTACATGCAAACGAGGCTACTCGAAGATTAACATCACATCTCCCCCTTGATCGAAAAACTATCAACTACTTGAAAATTACATGATGCTAACTGGAACTTCACAGGAATATAACAAAGGAAACAAAACAAAAGTAAAAGAAAACAAAATAAAGAAAACTCTTTTATTAGTTGTTGCTCTCTACAAATCGAGTCTTTTAGGGGGTCTTATGATTCTTCCAGATCTGGTGCGTACAGCATTATCGGGTTCCCCGGCCGCTCGAGTTTTTCTGGCTGTGGGAAAGCTGGTTCCATTTCCTGGTTGCTGATATCGTCATCGGGCTTGTTCTTTTCGTTTGACATGGGCTGGAAGTAAGGCAGAAAGGCTGACCTGTTTCTCCGTAAGAGGCTGCCTGAAGTCTACTGTGTAAGAGCGCGGCTGATCCGACTGTTGGACCCTGACTATGCCCGGCTTGTTTTTACCTTGGACCCACACTCTATCGCCGAGCTGCAGCGGGTGTAACTCCTTGACTCCATGTCGTGCATCGTAATACTGTTTTTGCTTGATTTTCCTTTCACTTTACTCTCGCTTCCAGTTCTCTATTCCGGGCCAGCTCGGTTCGAGAGACGTTGTAACGCAAATAAGGGTGCATTGAATCTGGCGGCCGAATAGTAGCTCAGACGGACTCTTTCCACCTTGCAAGGGTGTGGATCGATATGCAAGAAGAACTTTCGCAGGGTCACTCTCCTTCTACAGCAAGTTCTTCGCTGTTTGAACAGCTCGTTCCGCTTCCCCGTTGTATTGTGCATAGAGGGGACTTCTGGTAACATGTTTGAATTCCCAGTCTTTGGCAAATTTGGCAAACTCGGCCGAGTCGTACTGGGGGCCGTTGTCCGAGCGCACTTCCTCCAGTATACCATGTCTTGCAAACAGAGATTTAAGGGCATGTATCGTTCCAGATGAGGCGAGTGATGCCAAGTAATTGACCTCGATGAACTTCGAGAAATAGTCTACAACGATCAGATAGGGGCGTTTCTTCACATAGCAGATGTCAGTGCCGATCACTTGCCGCGGTCTGTCCGGGACTACGCTTGGAATCATGGGTTATTTCTTGTTGATTCCTCGCCCGGTACACTTGCGGCACTGCTTCACTAGGTCTTCTATTTGACGACTAAGATCTGGCCACCATAACGCTCGTTTCGCTCTTTCTCTGCACTTCGTAACGACTTGATGACCCTAGTGAATGCGGTCGAGCATCTCCAGTCTTAGGGACGTTTGGATGACCATTCTGTCAGCTTTGAGAAGCAATCCGCGGATAACCGAAAGTTCATCCTGGACTTGCCAATAGGGTTGAAGAGCATCTGGTACCCTGGTTCGGTCTGGCCAGCCTTCGCTGCAGTATTGTCTCAGTTTTTGACAGACTTTGTCTTCTTCTTGTTTTTCTTTTATTCGCTTGAGCTGTGTGTTTGAGGCTGGGAGGGAGGCAAATACATGTTGAACATATAAATCTTAAGTACTGGACTGACCATCCTGCTGCTCTACAGGTGCTATTGATAGCGCGTCAGCAGTAATTAGGCTCTTCCCGGGAACGTGTGACACTGTAAAGTCAAATCTTGATTAACAGGCGCATACGGAGTCGTTGGATCCGTGGTGACAGTTCTTCCAAGTTCTTTGAAACAAGGATTGGAGCCAGGGGCTTGTGATCGGTTTCTACGTGGAACCGCTTTCCGATAAGGTAATCTGCCAATCTCTCACAGGCCCACGTAGTGGCAAGTGCCTCTTTTTCAATCTGGGCGTATCGCCTTTCGGTGGCAGTAAGTGCGCGAGATATGAAGACTACTGGTTTCCAGTTTCCATCCTTCTGTTTCTGGGTCATCACTGCACCCAAGCCATACGAAGATGCGTCAGCTGACAAAGTAGTCTCGAGTATGGGATCAAAGATCGTGAGGGCTGGGGCGGAGCTCAGTTTCTCTTTAATGACGTTGAAGGCGTGCTGATGATGAGGACTCCAAACCCAGGCATTCTTTTTGCTGAGAAGTTCTCTAAGCGGGTGGGAGAGCTCGGCTAGTCTCGAAATGTACTTTCCTGAATGATTTACCATTCCAAGGAATCGTCGGAGCTCATGTACATCAGTCGGCTCAGTCATGTGCCTCACGGCAGACACTTTGTTTGGCTCAGCGCGAGTCCCGTCTTTGCCAACCAATTAGCCCAGAAATTTGACGGTATCCTACGAGAATTCACATTTCTCCCAATTTAGCGTGACCAGTTAGAATGGCTTCCAGCCTTTCGTCGTGTTCTGCTTGGTTCGTCCCATACACAACGATGTCATCCATCTGGCATTCGACACCGGGAAGATCTTCTAAGATCCTTTGCATGCTTTTTTGGAAGTGCTCCGAGGCGGAGGAGATCCCAAATGGAAGACGCGTGTAGCAGTAGCGACCCCAGGGTGTGATGAATGTGGTAAGAAACTTGGAACTATCTTTTAGTTTCTGCTGCCAGATGCCACTGTTTGTATCCAGCTTAGAGATGACTTTAGCTCCTGCCAGTTTCCCAAGGGTTTGTGCTGTTGTAGGCCTGGGGTGATTTTCACGTAATACTGTTTTGTTCAACGGGATAAAGTCCCCGCATGTGCGGACCTTTCCGTTGGGTTTCGGAACTACGACGATAGGTGAACACCACTCAGTAGGGGCATCTACTTTTTCGATCACTCCCATGGTTTCCATCCGATCCAGCTCATCCTTGACTTTTGGCAATAGTGGTATTGGAACGCGTGTGTGGGCGGTTTGGTTAAACGGTTCGTGACAGGGTGTCATTTTAATTTCGTATTCCCCCTCAATGCAGCCCAGGCCACTGAAAACGTTTGGAAAGCGCGCCCTGATATCGTCCGCTAATTGCGTGACAGTTCCAACTTTGGCAACGGTTTCCAGCGCTAAACAGGCCGATCTTTCAAGCAGCGGGGTCTCCAGATGTTCAACAACGTAAACATCTTCGTCACACGACTTTCCGTTTAGTCGCAGTTTCGCTTGGAGTATACTCAGGCAGTGAAGTTTGCTTTTACAAGGCCCGTATAGCTCTTTGTGCGCTCTCTTGAGGTTGGTTTTGTCGAAGAAACGACTGTAAATCGAAACAGATACAATGAAATATATGAAGTTCATATATTTTGAACTGCGCTATTAGATACGTATGATGCACGATCCTCGCAGTAGATAGCGCTATTTAAGCAATAGCGAAAATCAGATCTGAAAATAAAAAAAATCAGGCCTGTACGGGACTCGAACCACTGACCTCTGCGATACTAGTGCAGCGCTCTACCAATTGAGCTAACAAGCCAACTGGGAGCAGGCCGTTAAGTTGATTCGTAATAAACCCGTGAAAGTGATAAATGAGATACAATGAANAAGGCCTTGCATCGAGCCGGTGCACTTTAAACAGAAGGATGGGTACAACTGCGGAATTCTCATTTGTCTCGTAAGTTGCTAACTCGCTATGCACCCACACGCGACATTTAGGCTTAAGTTCAATACAGAAGTCACTATTCTCATTAAATCATGAGATGCTAAGGTACGAGATATTTACCCTCACAAGGTAACTATCATTACCGTTTGACAGGCTAGCCTCTGGAGGAAGTGCATTCGATTAAATATACCTTAACAACCAATTATTTCAGCGTTAAAAGGAATTTAACGGAATATTGTACATTTTTCACTCGATTTACCCAATGATTGATTGTTATTTTCGATCGTTTATTTCAGTTTGCTAGATGTTTGTGCGAAGAGTCCTCCGTAGATGCAGCTTTCGATATAGCAACTGAACGTGCACTAATAACGTCTATGGTGTTTGGTTGTTGTTACGATGACATCCACGAGTAAGTCACCTAAGTCACAGCTTGTTTCCAAACTGCATATCCTTTAATCTTGCCAAGCATCGGGTTTGATCCTGATATAGAGTTACGAGTCAAAGTATGAGACCTGACCCAATAAAAAGAAGACATATTTAAGTGAATGATATTGAAATTCACGTTCCGTCCGCTCTAGGGGAAATATCAACGTCTGCATAGTGTGCCATGACGACGATGACGAAGATTGGCCGGGATGCGACAGCTGTGGCCAGTACTTCCACGCAAGTTGCATCAAAGTGGATTTCTCAGACTCTCTCTAGCTACTTTGTCTGCTCTTAATTTCACAACATCGTTGCGGATTAGTGACATAAATTGATAGTGGAGAACATTCTTCCCAGTGTGGGACTGGTTTAAGACTAAGCTAGGCTGTGTACAATTCCTGAAATTCCCGTAATTTCACGAATTATTTGACGATTAAGTATTGACAAGTTTTTCGCATTACAGTAAGTGAAAAATTGACTCAACGCTGCAATGTGAATCTCTCTCAAAATTTACTCTTTAAGAGTCGAAGTTACCGTCCAAAATTCAAACGTGACTGCTAGGTTTATTGGCGCATTGATAACCTTGTAAATAGCTCAAACATACTGAAAAAATTTTCATTAGTTATTGTAAATCTTTATGCTTTGTTCAGTACAATCTTACACATTTCGGGTTTGAACTTTTCGCGGGAAAACCCGTGCTACAGCTCACACGACGTATTTCAAATTTAACCGCTGTAGAATAAACTTCTGTGTTCGACCCTCGACGAACGCCTTCAATATAGCGTCACCCGAAAAATGTCTGGGACTCCCCTCACTCTACGGAGACTTATTATACTCATCACCAGGTGCCTCGAGCTCAGTGCCAGTTTGAAATAGACCATTTGTGATTCCAACGGTTTCGGGCCGCCATTCTAGTGGATTAACATACAAGTGTTACGGAGCCTGCTTGCTCCGTGTTTCAAGCTGGAGCTGCTTTAGTTGATTCACGGTTTAGAGTTATTCTTGTTTTACGAGCCCGGCGCGTTTATTTGGCGACTGGATTGGATTTTCGCGAGAAAAATGTGCTGGATTGAGGGTCGATCGGTCCCCGACGCTGCCGTCAGCTTCCTACCACAGGCTTACCATCTTTAAAATCTGTGGTTTCGGATTTCTATGGTTTGGGTTTCTTGTGGCATTTTCTTAGCCGTTATAAATGTAGTTCAAATAAATTGCCTTTAGAATCTTTCCCTAGTTGTCAGTCTTCGAAAAAAAATCAGCTCCGAATAAAGATTAATAGTTCATTACTTGTTTGGAAGTGTTTTTGTCTGCCAGAAAGCCTCAAAGTCGCTCGTTTGGGACTTTCAAAGTTCGGCGGTTAATTCGGCTCGCTCTCCCTAGTGAAGAAATGCGACAAGGCAGGCAGCTTAGGCCTCCAGATCCCGCACCACCTCGTATTCGAGACAAAAATGTTTTACCTTCTAGGTTTTATTTTCCCACCGAAATTCAACAGGCCACGAAAGGATAATCCAGCTGTTACGGTGACTCGGTTTTGAATCATTCCATTCAACGGTTTACGAGAAAATGGATCGCAAAGTCGTAGATTTGGAGCTCTTCTAGGGTTCCGGACATGAGGGGTACTCAAAGGAATTCCAAACATGCGTTTCGGTCATCGAATTTCGGAGCCAGCCACCCTACCCGAGATCAGAAAAGCAACCGTTACAGCAAATAAAACTTACATATCTAAGACTCGATGGGTTGTCCTGAGAATGTTAACAAAACCTATCTCGATTCGTATTGGTCGATCTTGGCTTACGACATCCACCGGAAGTAAAAAGTAGCGCTTTTGGGGCCCAGACAGGGAATACAATTTTTCACATTTTTGTACCTCGGGTAGGGTGGCTGGCTCCGAAATTCGATGACCGAAACGCATGTTTGGAATTCCTTTGAGTACCCCTTATGTCTGGATCCTTAGAAGAGCTCCAAATCTACGAGTTTGCGTTCCATTTTCTCGTAAACCGTTGAATGGAATGATTCAAAACCGAGTCACCGTAACAGCTCGATTATCCTTTCGTAGCCTGTTGAATTTCGGTGGCCTTCAAAGGTGGAGTTACGAGGAACAAGAACATTGAGGCGTTCTTATATCGAAGCAGTCAACTGAAATCTTTAGGTGAAGAAATGACCCCAGTATTACGCGACCATAGCTTTAAGAATCATGCCAATTTGGTCAACGAGTACGCGGCAATTAAAACAACCAAGAAACGTAAAATCTAGCGATAGGTTTCGGTTTGAATCACAACTGACGAGTTAATATAATCACAAAATAAATTGTTGCTTACCAACTTTCGCGGGTCTTGACTACTTTATCGAGGATTACGGTCTAACTTGTCTCCTATTTAGAAACGATCTTGATTACACGATGTCTTATCCTGAACTGATACGCTAGCTGATAATTTTTTCTTTCTTACAATGAACTAATCACGGAGGCGTTAATCAAACCATAAAATATTTCGCAGCTTCTTTAGCTCCTTTAACATTTAGCTTTAACGGAGGCAGTTACAGCAAAAAGAGTCATCACGTGCTCGGAATGTGATTACTTATCCCCCCTTAAGTTTGACTGTGGCCCAAGTGGTTAGATGACCCAAAGTTAATAGAGGATCACCGCAACAATTATCATTTGCTTAAAATAAAATTGGTTTGACTTGACTTACTGGATTTCCACCTCAAGTCTGGTGATTCGATCTGACCTTTTAGGACAAGAATTACAGGGCAAGCGTTCGAATATGAAAACCTAGCGAACGCAATGTGAACAAAACAAAATGAAATGAAAGCAGATGAAATAGATAACAAGTAAACATCGTTTTTATTATCTTTTTACGTCCGCTGAAACATGCACTGTCAAAAAATACATTCTCGATCTCTTACTTTCATACTATAACTTCAATTTCAAGCGCGGCAGGATTCATCAAGTTCAGCATTAATTTATTGTTATTATTTAGGTAGTCAGTCTTAGCTGGAATAACATAAAAAATTGATCTTGCGGAGGGAATATACAGTCTGAGTGCTTCCATTACATTTTTTTAACAGCTCTATCCACCCCATCAGGCGCATGGCGCATAATCATTCTATTCTATTCCCAGATCCCTGTTGGTCGCCATGTAAAAACATCCCAGGGGGAGATCCATTGAATCCACGTCCACTTCCATGCATGCACCCACGTGACCGGGTTTCAGCGAGACTTGTGTAAGCCTGAAACACACGTTCACTGTAACATCGTAAAAAGTGACGTCGTGGCAAACTGGTGGTGGGTTTTGGACTAGAAATAAAATGTAAGACTATTACAATCATAATAGAAATAAGCAGAATATAAATATAATGAAAAGTCAGCTTTTAAAGTAACAAAAGTTTTTATGCCTAAGCTAAGTTCGGATTGGGAATTTCAAAGTTCTTAAGACGGTCAAAGCGGTCTAAAACTGGAGAACCCCACCAACTTAAACTGCCAAGTTTTTAAGGTAACAAAAGTTTTTATGCCTGAGCTAAGTTGATTGGGAATTTCAAAGTTCTTAACACAGTCAAAGAGTTCTAAATCAGGAGAACCTCACTAGCTTAGACTGCCAAGAAATATGTTTCGCGGCATCGAAAATTCAAGAATGGAGGGGCTTAACTTAGAACTTCTTGCGCTTGATATCCTGATATGATAAAAAAATGGCGAAATTTCGTCAAAATAGCCCCTCCGCTAAGCTGATTTCGTTTTGACGAGTTTGACTAAAAATTCGCAAAAATTGTCAAATTTATGGACATTCACTCAGTTTTATCGTTTTGACGAAACTTCGCCATTTTCGTCACCAGGTGAGTTTCCGAAAACAAGTCCTGACAGGGGCAAGTTTGAAGGGGGCGAATTTACAATGGGGGTGGGGTGGGGGGGAAGCAAGAAACTGGTCTGGGTAAGTTGACTGAGTAAAAGTGAGTTTTTACATTATATCAATTAAAGCTTTTTACATCAGAGGAACGAACTGATCATCGCTTTACCACTTTTAGAAATGAGTGTCATTTAGGTCTAAATACAACTAAAAATTATCACAATGGCAATTATAAGGGTCTCTCAAGACATACACCAATAAGCAGGAGAAAAGTATATTGGAGATATTTTGCTAGCTTTTACTCACCTGATATATGCTCATCGATAATAGTGACTCCATTGATAATCCCTTTAATAGCAAATCCCTGGCAGATGACAAAACAAACATTGAAAATCCTGAGATATATATTGCTGTAGAATCTCTTCTTTTGGGAATAATCAATGTGGGGAAACTACCAGTCAAGGGATAACTATTATGGTCCAACAAAAAACCTAAAAAAAAAAAAAATGGAAAAGACTTCGATTTTCGTTCAAGGGACACTTGTATACGGGAAACACTTTTCCTAGTCCCATGGGTGTTTGCAGGAAGGAAATTCCTCCCTATAGCCTTGATATCTGGTACCTAAGTTGAAAAAACACCTCTGGCCAGGGGGACAATTTTCCCAATCCTGTGGGTGCTCTTTAGAAGAAGGTTCCTCATTGAATGGTCGAAATTAAATTCGACAAATCAAGGCGAAAGAAAGAGTTGAGTAGAAAGGAATCAGCGATAAAAAGAATGGAAACGAAAAAAAAAGATAAAGCGAAGATAGCGAGAAGAAAAGAAAAGGAAAGAAGTTCAGGAAAAGGTGGAAAGTAGAGGGGGAAACAAAGTGCATAGAAATATGGAACAGACTTCAATTTAATCACTGATTGCCTCACCCCTCCGTCTGGATCTATCGTTGCTTGGGCAAAAGCTGAAAGAAAATAAAGCAAAATTAGGAGAAGTAACTATGGCGCATGCTCACTTCACAATCTGTGTATACTTTAAAATGATCAGCGGTAATCTGACCGGGAAACTCTCCCTACTTTTTCTACCAAAACCGATGAAGTTCAGCTCAAGTCTTTACTTGCTACTATCTTTCTATACACTCGTCCCCAGAAGGAAGGAAAAACCCCTCAGAGCGAGTTTGTCATCTGTCTCCCCTAGCCCTCTATCCACCCACCCTACCCTCATTGCTCACTTTCTCTCCTTCCCCACCCCCTTCAGTCTTCTTATATGGGTGCTACCACTACCCGTGGTTGTTTGAGCTCAAACGATGTTACCATCTAGTTCGTGTCCAAATATGTTCCACTTGAAAGAGCATTCACAATGAGGCTGCGGAGACTTTGAGCAATAACAGCCATTCTTGTCAACATCCCATGTCTCAAATGCTAAATCAGCCAGGGAACTGAGGCTATTGATCTGGTTTTCCTGAAAGTTTCCAAAAGAATTGAAAGTATTGTCAACAATTAATAGACAATGAAAATGAAATGGAACTTCACCGAAAATTTTTTGGCTTAGATTTTTTTTTCAAAGCTTATCAGTATTAAGCAACGAACATTCCTCACACATATTTTGACATTTTGATAAAAAAGTAAGTCACTTCCCATCCATCTAATTCTTTCTTCCCAGGCTCCTTCCTCTTTGCCTCCTTTGTCGTTGAGGACAAAGGTTTTAGGGAGAGGGAGCCTGATTACGAGTTTACCCTGACTCTTCAAAAGAGGGTATGGAGAAAGATTGTTTGACGATGAAGTAACCGCAAGAATTGTTAGAAGCTTTACTGTAAGTCAAACGAACCCCATGCGGGGTAATAACAACCTTTGATGCTTGAAAGATATCTTCCAGTGAGAAAATAAACGACGCAGGATCCAGATAGGTTCCTATATCCACTCCATGCCCGTCTCCACCCCTGAAAAAGAAACAACCAAGGGCAATGTCTATCCTGTTGTGCCCCAATTTATATTCCAGAGCTGCACACCCTCTAGTGAGATCTTTCTTGATGTTAATCATGGTAAATTTAACGCAGGCCTTTCCATAATTCAGACGAGGAATGTCAAAACAAGCAGGTCGTGGATGGTAATCTGCCGTTGAGAAAAGAAAGAACATTTTTGCGATCAATAACAGAAGCAATTATTGAGAAAAATGATAATTAAAAAAACATGCCTTCGGACTGCTTCAAGAAACTCTGCCTGAGGACTCAACCAAAAATTCTCTGAGGTAAATGTAAATTCCATAAAGAAACTAACTAAACGTAAATGTTCGCACCTGATATGGTGCGGTTGAAAACTTCACGTTTGTTCCACATCATGAAAAAGTCCACCGCCTGTAACGCAATTCATTGCGGTAAGGTTAAAATGTTTCATCATCAAATGCTAAATTCTCCCTCATAGCATATGTAGATCGCCTTATGAAGTCAATTGCAATTCTCCGAAAGAAAAAATGGCAAAGATCACTTTGTTAAAAGTTCATTTAAATTTGCAATAAAGTTGTTAAGCTCACCAATGGCGACGGGGTGAAAGACGAGGTCAAGCACACTGTGAAAAGTGAAACAAATGCTTAAATAAAAAAATTGAAAATTACACACATTTTGATTGATTCTTACATAACATATATTCAAGGATAGGCGCATATATGATGTCACCATTAACAACATCTTTCTTTTATCGTATAAAACAAATAAATTTTTCGTTGCTGTGGGTCTGTTCAGTAATAGATCACAGATGACATTACAGATGACGTCAAAAATGACGTCAAAATGTGGTTAGAACATCAGTGATACACTTGGTTGCACCTCGAGCGCCACTTACTATTCTTACCATCTTTGATCGTGAATGTCTTCTGGGGTTTATCAATGAACAGACGTAGGGCAACAGGGAATCTCTTTCTCACCCTGGATGCTTAAGAAAGGCCAACATTGTGGCCATAGCCATACACGTTGGGGAAAAAACGTAAAAGTCAGTTGCTCTTTCATTTTTCTTTCTAGAATATTCGAGACTGACAACCGTTCATTGGTAACTACATTCACACATGATACGAGCAGGCGGTTTGGCAGAATATTTCAACTCTAAAAGCACGAGTCTCCCCTTGAACGGATACGTTCATAGTGACGTGATTCCTTGATGTGCTCTTTTGCCACCATATTTGTCAGAGGAAATGGGCGGATATCTGATGTTGATGTCACGTTGCGTCTGCCATCAGTTTCCAGGTACGTCTGAGCTTAGAATTCTTACAGAGTCTGTAGCATCAGAAAAAAAATTTTTTTTTCCACTTATACTTACCGTCCGCTTCATCATAGTTTTGGAATTCAGATGCTCTGATTTGAAGGCAGCAGCCACAGCTGGGATGATGATCAGAACAGCTGCAGCGACGCCGGGTAATCTCCACCGAAGACGGACTGAAATCCGTTTTCTCCTCCTCTGAAAAAAGATTTCCGTGTCAGATTAAAAGGCTTCGGAGCTTCTCAGAAATTAAAAAAAAAGACAATAAGTTTTAAGCTGTTTCTTAGGAGAGCCATTCCCCTGACCGCAATAAAATGTTATACTAAAACGATTCCTGAACCATTTTCCTTGCGAAGGACTAGGTAAGGTAAAAAAAAAAAAAACAATTCTCTCTCCTAGGCCAAATCACAAACTGGGTTTAATTACTCCATTACTAAGCCACTTTACTATGTTAGGGTAAAAACACGCAAATATGCCATGGTGTTTTACTGGAGATCAGGGCAAAAATGCGGACGAAAAGTGGAACAACGGAATGGGCACACTGAATGATCCATGCAATGATTTGTCTACGTCCTGTAGGATTATCTTCGCAAGGGACGAAATTTTTTTTTAAGTGAAAAAAAAGGTTTCTGGTGGAAAGGACAGTTGGATTGTTTCATTTGTGTTGCCATGCGATCGTCACGAAGTAAGTTCGTGCCATAGGATGTGTTTCGAAAACTGGAGGTTAAAGCATCGGAAAAAAATTAAGTACTGATGCAAAAAAACAAAACAAAAAAAAAAACACCGTATTCGATAATTTACCATATTATACGAGTAGAAATTTTATTTATTGCTCGAATTTTTCTTCATTTCTACGACACTTAAAAGAATACTACCCAACTCAAAGGCTGTCTGCACGCGTCTTATAAGTTAAACCAACAACTGTGGTGTTCACACTAAGAATCTTGCATATTGCCACGATTAACAATGTTGCAAGTGTTCGAAGTTAAATCTGAAACGTATTACGAGCAAGCTACTTGACTTAACATATGTAAATTATGTCATACCATTCCCCCATGTAGGCATTGCGTAGGCCATGTTGCAAAAGACCAAGAGTGCGAAAAATCCAATTATGTGATCCATTGTGTTGTGATTTGTTCCGAGAAGCTGACTGTATAAAAAAAAAGATGGAACGTTATTTAGATAAGAACCGAATTGTCACGTGACTGAAATGTGATTGCTCTAAGTTGCTAGATGAAATAACTGTTCAGAAATATGAAATATGATTGCCCCACCTTTACGTTTAGCTAGGCTCCAAGTTCCTAAATGAAATAATTGATCCAACACAGAAGATCACGGGAACAATGATCATGTGCTTGTGATGTTATTTTCACCTCGTGACTTACCCTTAGACACCCAGGCAAATGAGAGACAAGCATAAGGATTACCTTGTGATGTATATGTATCGTGACAATCATTCCCTTTTTCAGAAGATATCAAAATACCACCACCGAAAAACTCTGTAGTCTTTTGCATTTTATTTTCATTATTTTGTAGCGTTAATTTAATAAAATTCTCAGCGGCTTAAAAAAAGACAATGCATGCAAGCTTTCTTGTAGAAAAGCTATTCCCCTCGTCGCGATAAAATGTTTATTCATCTCAAAATGATTCCTAAACAATTGTCCGAGAGAAGGACTGGTTGACCCTTTATTCGTTAAGAGTGACCAGCATCTAATTTCTCCTTATAATATCACCCAGGAATCACACATTAAGGTCAGGAGAATAAAGGAAATTATCACTAACCAAAGAAGTTCTGTATTGTTGAACAAATTCTCCTTGTCGGCGCCCTAGGAAAGGTACAGAGAACAGTATGGAGAATATGTTATCTGATGTAAGGAAAGGGCTAGGGGAAAAATTATAGTTCTACTTAAGGTTCAAATCACAGACTTATCAGATTTATCGGTCGAATGCTGCACCAAAACAGCCACAAATTACTTTCTCGAGAGCTAATCCATAAACTAGGTTTTATTTCTCTCTATTATGCTATTTTAATTATTATGTATGGGCAACGCAATACGCAAAATCAATATCCCACGGCATTATACGTAGTCACAATTCAAGCACAGGATTATTTTTCCTGTGATCTTCTGTTTTTGGTCAGTAAGTTATCAAGTAAACACTTTACCGTACTGTTACGTTACCGTGACTAGAATTTTCAATGTGAAGTGGGTGCTGGCGTCAGAGCTTGAAGGAAATACTGATAATACAATTTAAAATAAACGGTACAATAGGTGGTGGTGTAGCTCTTTAAAGGTGAACTACGACTTTTCCAACTAGTTTAGTTTTAAAGAGCTTTTGTGAAACAACAACAGAACTCGGGTTACTAGAGACCCAGGAAACCTGACGATCTCCATGAAGTAAGACTTGATCGATATCTTGGCACCTCCATTCGCGAATCGGCAAAAATTGCTCACATAATAGAGCAGCCAAACACATAAAAATCTCTTGTCTTCCTCGAGAGTCATCACTAAATCGTTCATGACCTTGATGGATACTTCCACAAGCAATTAAAGGCGGATATCTATATTAAAAACTCACCTCGTTTATCGTGTCCTTGATTTATGGAGCGGGACGGCTGTAAATAGTTATTGCCCGAAATTGATCGATATTTTCACGTGCATTTTATGTGATGTTATCACAAGCACCCCGAATATCAATCACGCAATCGACTGCGCATGTCTCCGATATTATATCCGACAAATTTTGGCTTTTCTCGCTATTGTAAAGAATAGGCTGCTGCCTCGCCAGGGCTCGCCAGCAATAATTTGCTAAATATAGTCAAGTAGTTAAAAGTTATTAAATTTTCCAGTTGCCATAACTGGTGATGAAGTTTCCTAATTGGTTGAAAAAATTGCAAATTTTCATCAATTCCTCTGGGCTACGAAGTTCCCATTGGGGAAGCTTAATTTTAATAAACGCTACAAAATAGTTAAAACAAAATACATCCAAGAAGGTTATAGAGTTTTACGGTGGTTGTTTTTCCAAGATCTTCTCTGAGAGGGGAATGAGTGTCACGAGACATCACGCGGTAATTCATAATCCTGACCCCTTCTATTAGCCTGGATATCAAGAAATAATCACATTTCAAGCACATGGTCATCATATTTACTGTTTTGGGTCCAGTATTTCATCTAAGGACTTGGGACATTGCTGAACTTAAGGGAAAGAAGCAGTCTCATTTCAAGCACATAATGAATGTTCCGATTTAAATTACACTCAGCCGAGTGTTGTTTTTTTATTCAGTCAGCTTGTCTGCACAGTTCACAACACAATGGGCACGAGATGATTGTCCTTGCATTCTTGGCTTTTTTGCGACGTGGTCTACGGGTAGATTTCTTTAATTTGTTGAAATCCACTCAGCAGTAAGGCCTTCTATCAAAAAAGAAAATCCTGAGGTTGCGTGAAAAATTAACCGAGGAATTTCCGTGACCGTCCCCCCGTAATATAAACATAATAATGGCGATTGTCATGCCACGCTCACTGTTGCAAACTTCAATCTTTTGGTCAACAGACATGTGAAAATGGTTGGACTACGAAGTAAGAAAATTGGTTTTTTGTCGGTAGGCGTCTCGGAAAATGGCTAACAGCCACCTCAAACAACGAAAAGAGAGGTTACTCAAAACTCCGAATAATTACCTGTCGATGTTCAATGCAAAACTGCAGGATTTAACTGTAAACCGTCTATGAGGCCAGCTAATGTTAGCCGTCAAACTTCTCAAATATTCGTCAGTTATCAAGAAGAAACTATGGAAAGACCTTTCGTTTTTATTTTACCATTTCATTTCATATTTGCAATTACAAGTAGAAACTGAAAAACAGTAATCAATAACTTTAAGAAATGAACTAATGAGAAGTAAATTTTAATTTTAATTTAAAACCATGAAAGCTTGTGAAACTTAAGTTCCATCGTAAGGAAAACGGGATGAATGAATTTAGGCAAACGACAGTGTAGGACAAAAAAAGGATATTTGTTTGATGTCTTTTCTTTTTCAAGGACTATGTTATATGCTGATAAGAATTTAAAATGACTTGAATCTGTTGTAAATGTGGAGCTACTTAAAGTGCACCTAAACCCAAAATTTTTTTTTCGCTTAACGAAATAAAAAAAATCAACCGGTTTGTAACCTTCATGTGTCTGTAACCTTCCCGCTGAGTCATGTTTGTTATTCTTTATCTGTCACGTTCTCGGGGTGTACTAGAAACGTGCCAAAGCGCAACAGGATGTCTTTTCTTTTCTACAGTGTACTTTAGCTTCATATAGACATTAAGCACAGCGTCACACCACACACACAAACACACACACACACACACACGCACGCACGCACACACACACAAACAGAAAAACAAAAAACAAAACAAAACAAAAAAACAATGATAACAACAATTATTAAACATACCTCGACCTAACGAACTTTGTGGTTGTTTTTCCGCAAATTCGTCAAATCGAGGTTTCGATATAACGACTCCTCGAGATAACGAACCAATTTCTCCAGTCCCTTGGCATTTCGTCGAGTCGTGCGTGGTTCCACTGTATCGTGACAATCAGTCTCCTCTTAAAGAAGATATCAGAATACTACCACTGAAAAAACTCTGTAGTCTCTTTAATTTATCGGTGGGATACTGCACCAAAGCAGCCACAAATAACTTTCTCGAGAGCTAAGGCATAAACTAGGTTTTCTTATTCATTGCCAAGCAATTTTACTATGTAAGAGCAACACGCAAAATATCCCACGGTATCACACGTAATCCCATTTCAAGCACAGGATTATTTTTCCTGTGATCTTCTCTTTTGGGTCAGTTAATCATCAATTAAACATTTGATGAAGAGTTACGTCACTGTAATAATTTTCTAAATGTAACCAAGCACTTAAAAGTTATTACATTTTTCCAGTTGTCAATTGGTTATGACTTTTTCCCGACTGGTTGAAAAAATCGCAAATTGTCATCAATTCCTCTGAGCTACGAGGTTCCGAAGTTTGACTTTATCAAACGCTACGAAATGGAAAAAATAAATACATCCAAAAGACTATATTTATATAGAGTTGGTATTCCAAGATCTTCTTTCAGTAGCCTGCATAGCAAGCGTTTCCGTGCTGTTTACCGAGGAACGAGAGATTCTCGGTTTTGGCCGCGCGAGAATTGAAACGAGAGCCAATTCTCGCGCGGCAAAACCGAGAATCTCTCGTTCCTCGGTAAACAGCACGGAAACGCTTGCTATGCAGGCTATTCTTTGAGCAGTGAATAACTTTCACGAGACAACACGCAGGTAGTATCAAGAAACCATCACATTTCAAGCCAATGATCATTGTTCCCATGATATTTTCTGTTCTGGGTTGTTTTTGTGAATAATTCACTTTAGCAATTATGTATTGTACACTATTAGTAGAGGAAAGTGGGAAAAACGATATCTCTAAAAGCGTTCAAATTTATTCACTGGCGAGTTCTTAATGACATGTTGATGTTTTCTTTCGCCGCATGCAAAACTATCGTTTCCATGAGGAAGTTCGGGTTTTTCCTGAACACCGTCCAAATATTTTATTGGCATCTCGCCCTCTACAGACTTCCTTTTGATTCCTTTCGAATGCCGAGAATCAAGATTGTATCGCAATTGTCATGGCCAAACATTACGAACCAAAAACCAGTGATTCATTAAGTTTTCACATCAGCGTAGTCTACCAAAAGCCACTGACCGAGTCTGAGTATCTTAATAGTTTCTAAGTTAATGCGCGGACCTCGCTGCCTTCCGATTTTTCGAGACAATGTATAGCTTCGGCCAAATAATTTTTTTTTTTTTTCAATTAGCTAAAAGGTGTGGCTACGGGTTCCAAGTCCGAGTCGAAATGAAACTCGTTTAATCGCTGGAGAACATTAGATAAACAACAACGACGACGATGAAAATCTTGATTTTGCAAAATCTCATCAGTTTCAGCGTCTTGCGCTGGGAAACTGAAAGGTTTGCTTTGAAAATGCTTTAAGAGTAAAAAGAAAGCTATGCTGATCATCTGTTGACAATAATTCTCACTTAATCGTGATGAGAATCAGTTCTCGAGCTCAAGATGTTTAGACCATGGGACATTATGATCTATATTGAGGCAAGGGAGATCACTTTTTCGGTCAGGCTGTAAATATTCAATTCCATTTTCTCTAGTTGCAAACTGAGTTGTTCGCTGAAACTTGAATAAGTTTGAGTTCCTGTTTGATTGATCGTTGCCATACTGAGTGTGTCAGCTACTATAAAAAAAAAAATAAACAGGAACAAATTGCCAAATAAGGAGATTCGTCTGAGTCGGTAGACACGAATTTTCCCTTCAGTAATCCTCGTTAAATCTAACAACAGCGTGAAATCACTAACATTTGCGTCGCGTGCGATCGGAAACAGCGAAAGTTAATTATTTTGATTTCCACTCAACGCTGCTTATAAACGTTACATAGTTAAGGTGTAGCGCTGTAAGAGACAGTAAATATCTGCAGCCAATTTCGAAATTTTAACCAGAAGAATAGAAACTCTTTCCTTGCTCGACGTCTTCCTTAACGTTGCAGTAGTGACTGCTTAAGGTCCCTTATAATATTTCATTCCATTTCCTCTTTTGTTGCAGACTGAGTCGCACGCTGAAATCTGACTTAATTCGAGTTTTTGTTTAGTGTCAGTTGAGGAGCTCGTTTCGTGAGTGGGATCGTTGCCATACTAAGTGTGTCAGCTAGAGGAGAAAAAATAAACAGGAAGAAATTGCCAAATTAGGAGACTCGTCCTAGTTGATAGACACGACCTTTTCCTTAACCTGCGTTAGATCTACATATATTGGGAAGTATTTAAACTCAACAAGAAACGGTTCTAAACACAAGCAATTTTGTCTGAGGTGAACGAAGCTGGTGCTCTCCCCAGTTCTAGGGACCGACTAGAAGAAACATGGTAAGTCTCTGCAGAATTTAGTTGTGGTTAACAATATTTGTTTTATGCAATTCTTTTCTAAAGTAAGAGCTGTGATATTTCCTCTTATTCGACTTCTGCTAATTTTTTTTTATTTAAAGCTTCCCGGAAGGGCTCTTATTAAAAGAAGGTCTAAAAAAGTGTGAATCGCTCTTTAAATCGTAGGAGCTATGTACAGAGAAGCTGAACAGATTTCAAGGTGCTTCAAATATTTTTTGATGAGATTTGTCATTTAGTAACTTCTCTATCCGTTTTTCTGCCAGGGGGTTCCTCCATTTGCCACAGCTTGTTTCATCTTGTTTCTCTGTGTTGGTCAGATGTCAGCCTTGGTGGTGAGTAAAAGATTCTCTGATGGCAAATTAATGATTATTTCCTGATATATTTCGGTTTGTTTAGCAATCCAAAACTTGTTACTGCGAGAGCATGGAACTTAGAAAAATCATCAACATAGTGCGGAGCGAAATTTCTCTCTGTCATTTAGCATAAAAATGAAATAACAAAAAGCGGAGAGCTGAAACCTTTGTTTCCTATTCCCAATATCTCACTTCTAATTCTTCTTTTTGTTCGCCAGATAGTCCTTATGATGTTAGATCGGAGAATTTAGTATTGGATCAATTAATAATCCCCTGATTGATAATTTCTTCACTCTCAACCCTTGTCAGCTTGATATTTTATTGATCAATTAAGGAGAAATTGTGTCCTGGTCACTTCTGCATGGGAATAAAGGCTTAGAAAAACTCAAATTTAGAAGATCTCTGCCGCAAACAATGAGAAGAACTTCTCACGTGGAAAACAATATTGGGGTAGCCTAATTTAAATTTTTTTGACAAAAATTTTCAGATACCAAGGGAGGAAATTGAAGCAAATCAGGGTGCGTTGGAAGAGTTTTCACTGAACATAATCGAAGATGGCACAATGTTTGCCGAAAAGGTCGCAATCAACGTAGAGAAAGATTTGGAATACTTCAATGTTCCACCTCACAATAAAGTCACAGAGGCGGTCGACTATTTGTACGACTTTAAAGGGGTGAGTCTTCAAGTTATATAGTGTCAAACAGGGCTCATTTTTCCTCTATGGGCGCAAAAATTTGGAACTGTATTCCTGATGTTTTGAGACAGCTCCCAAAATATAGTTTCAAGAAAATAATAACCGAATCCTCACTTCAAATCCTTCTAAACCAGGATTCTTATCCTGATATTGATATATTAATAAATGAAATGACAAGAAACTAGATTTCGTTAAAATAAAGAGTATTTTGAGCTTTCCCTGTTTTTAATTATGTGCTCGTGGCTTCATGATTAGTATACCTATATTTTTGTATTCACTTTTGTAATTGACATCTGCACCTTTGTAATTGTTATTTATTTTTTGTCATTAGAATAATATCATATTAATATGTAATTGACACGTTTCCCATACTACCTGCCTCGATTAGCTTCGCTATATTGCAGGTAGTCTTAATTCATAAGTTAAATTGTGATTATAAATAAAGATGTTGCTGTTGTTGTTGTTGTTGTTGTTGTTGTTGTATAAGAGATTAAGTCCCCTAGATTTTCTTAATACAACTTTGACATCAGAATAGTCAGTAAAACAATAGAAAATAAAGGGAATTATTTTCTCTTGATAAAATTCAATACAGTCCAGAAGACATCTTGCAATGTTTTCAAAATATTTGTTCATTATTGGAACAGTCCTCGTCAAGATGCATATGGATTGCAGAAACTCGCCAATCACTTTCACACTGCAATAAAATTTTAAAAGTAAATATATATGTGAAGCACTGCACTGATGAGACCTAGAAGGCCGAAACAGTACTGTCTGCGGTTAGTTATTTATAGATATGCATATCAAATATATCTCTAATGAAAATCCCTTGCATTTCCCAGCTATATAACAGATATTAGGAATTTTTTTAACTGTAACTTAATGCAACGGGCGAAAAAATTTTTCAAACACTGAAGCATATCTGATGAAGATCTATGTGAAGGAAGGGTCTATCAGCGTGACATTGCACAAACGGGAGCGATCAGGGCTTTGGCGTGTTTACCCTCACCTTTGCTGGGATTAGGTTTTATTTCCTGTTTTACTGTAACTTGATTTGGTATTAAAAATAAACGGCCACTCAACTGAGTGGCCAAATTACGGCAAATAAAGGTTGTCCGTTTAATTCTCCCAGCAAACCGAGTTCACCCTTAGCAATGCTCAGTGTACAACACTAGGTTATAGGCAAGCGAGCAAGAGGCATAATATGGATAAAAAAATTCATAGCGTCCAATTGAAACAAAACATGTCAATCTTTGCGACTGTCGACGGAGTGTTACGACAACGAAAACCGAGACAAAACAGAAGAGTAACCATACCTTTGCATTTCCCACACGTCTTTGCGCAATGACGTTGAAAGTTTCTTCTATTTAAACAAAAGCTTTTCTTCAGAGTACAAAATGTTTCACTCATTCTGTTTCGACAGGAACCACTTGTAACTATGGGTGTAAGAAACAAAATACACATGTTATTTAACTTTGGAAACGTTCAGTTTGCCCTCTTTTTTTCTGGCCCTCTTCTCCAAGAGGGTGATTTTCATTGCAAGAAAGACTCCCGGCGGCTTAAATTAAAGAGCAAGTTCTGAAAACTTCAAGCTACATCCCAGCATCACAAATCTAATTAGTTTTGGATTAAATAGAATAAGACAGACAGTATATTTTGAACCCGGGAGTAAAAAAAAAAAAGAAAAGATATTCCCATGATGAATTCCTCAGTGAAGGTTAACCGGTACCGGGGGCCTGTTTCTAGAAGTCCCAGTAACCTAACGGGCCCGTAAAGCTGTTTTGTTTTCATCCAAAATGGGGTTGCAGAAAGTTTTAAAAACTATACAATAATTTATGTTTTAAAATATGGCTTCGGGCCAGTTAAGTTTCGAGAAACAGGCCCCTGGTTCTTTACAAAAAGGGAGTATCAACATTACCACCTCACGCACGCTATCACATAGCATCTGTTGTAAATAAAAACGTTCAAAATCACCAGGGCAATTATGCGTATTGCATGCTCGTGTCTCTATACTCCGTCCCAGTCTCCAGCAGCTTCTTCCGCCATATGCAGGTGGCAGATTTGCACATCGACCAGAACGACGCTGAGTCCCTCCGTTCCATGATTTGCCACAGCTACTCCAATTACTCCTCTCTGCGTAACCACCATCAACTACGAAGACACGTATGAAGGAATAGGATAAAGAAATTTCGTTTAACCAACAAGAAACAGATATATATATGTATATATATATATATATATATATATATAACTTATTTCTCTGTTTTCCCCTTGCTTACCCGGGCACCTTCGTCTGCTACAACTTCGTTTCTCCAAAATTTCACCCAGTCTTAAGCAGTCTTTTCCACCATTTGCAGGCAGGGGATTGGTGCACGTGCGAGAGCGCTTTTGAATTCCGACTCCGCATGAATTGCTACACTTAGACCAGGGGGACCATGGAGGGTAACCGCCATCAATCGGGGCACAAGCTGATGGAAAAAATTAACTGGAATTTTAACTTGGACTAAGAGAAATACTTGGTTACTCAACTTGGTCAGTTAAGCGTACTCATTTTGAATGCCTACTGACCCACTCTTGCCAAAACTATTAAGAAAATCGTCTATGATGCCATTTTAAGACTGCATGAAAAAGGGACGCGCTAGTTTAGGTCTCCCTCAGTTTCTTCGTCTCTTTTTTCCATCCTGATTAAAGATTCAGGCTATTTAATCTTTGCTTTAACACTCTATATGCTTGAACTGTTTTGTCTGTTACACTTCCGGTATTCAGTAGCGGGCCAAGTCCCCACCGTGTGTGGGGAAAGGATTGATACTGCAGCGTGACAAGAGGCTCGAGTGTGAGTAACCTTCATGAACTGATTTTACGTTAATCACAGTAGCGTAGTTATTTTGCGTTTGTTTGCAAAATATATATAGTAACCAAGAATAAAATATACGTCTGCTTTGTATTGGATTAGAAAATTGCGCAGTAAAAGTTATAACTGTTAGATCTCAATTACTTTGAAGTCTGGCACTAAAGGAGGCGAAATAAGAAAAAAATTGTCATTTGGAATAACTTAACAAGGCCGCAAGTTTTGTCAAAATCGGTCAATCCACGTTCCTAACTTGGACAACCTGAGGAACACTTTCTTAGACACTGACACTGAAAACTCGAAAATCAATATCAATTTACTTTTCCAACTAGTTACTGAACTATCGCTTTCAGCCCGAAGCAATCCGCATATAAGCAGAGGCAGGATGTGTAGGCAGAAATACAGTAGATGCACAAACTTAAATAAACTACACCAAGAGATTTTAAACTGGGCAGTTTATAATCTCGGATTAAAATCTGTTGACTACACAATTTTTTTTTAAAATTGACCTTCTCTGTATAGTTGGATTGGCTTAATTACTTTGTTCGCATTTGGGATCACAACATATATTGAAATCGGACACATATCCTTGGCAAGTTGGGTCTCTTCTTGCCTTGTCCATGATGCGTAGGAAGTGATTAACTTTACTCTTAGGGATGAGCTTGCAAGTCCAATGATCAGGATCGCATTCCGCAGCCGCTTTAGACATAGGCTGGCCATCACAAACGGTGAGCCTTGGTTCGCTTGTCAGTTGACCTCGGCTTCTCTCTAGGTAAACATACCATCAAAGATATGATGTTAACAAAAGTAATGGTTTCGGATTTTTCAGTGCCTTTTTATCTGGCGTGGGCTTTGGTACAAGTAAATGGACGAAAAGAGAACCGAACTGAGTTTTCTGGTTCATTCAACTCAGAAACATCGCGGTTTGCAAATAAATACGAATGTGAAGCTTGCGTAAGGTTTGTCAAATTCGTCATTTTAAAAGACAATTTTATTCCATTCCTTATCCATATTTCTTCTTGATCTCGTTTCTAAAGAAACTAGGTTGTCACTCTTTAGATTTGAGGTTTGCTGTTAAGAAATCAAAAATCCCATTATCCTGTTGTATTCGAACCTCCTGGTTGCTTATGAAAAATCTCCAAGATTGTCTGTAGTCAGGATATCAAGGGAGATAGCACAAACACATGGGGTAACAGGGATTTACAGTCTTTTTTACAGTGTTTTAAGGACGAAACGATGACTCGCTCAAATTCATTAGATGGTCAAGTTCACTAGAGCAAGTTTTGAAAGCTTCATCCAGTGACGAACTTTTGATTACTTCTATTTGTGTTCTTAAGTTGATTTCTGAACCTACCTCTTGTTACTGACACAGACTCATTTCTACGTTCTTCCAGACGGTAGACTGAATGCTGATTACAGAATTCTCTTACAACCTTTCTCAGGGAAGCCTCATCAACTTTGTCGCCAATTACCCAGTACTTGGAAATGGTGGAGATTTTATGATTTGGTGGCTGATTTATAGCCTAGAGATAGAGAAAGGATCCATACAAAAAGATGGTGTTATATCATGTAAGAAGATTATGATTAGGGCCGGTTCATGCTTTCCGCTACAGTCTGTCTTAAAAATCAAATTTTACTTCTATCCCCCCCCCCAAAGAAAAAAGAAAGATAATAGTATGGTGCCCAGACCAACTGGATTTGAGAAAAACGAAGGTTGACTTGAACAAACCAAGGCCGGGGAAAACTTGAAAGGAGAAAAACCTAAAAGCGTGTGAATTTCCTTGTTATAAACAAGCGGAGGTTAAATGGCCGATCAGTCAAAATCCTCCCTCCACTCCAATCCTACTTTAAAGTCTTATAAAGTCTAATATCAAGAGAAATACGGAGTCGAAAAGCTTGTTTATTACATCTGGAAATGGGAAGTTTTTTGATAACAAGATTTCTTTTCCAAGCAAAAATCGACCTTTTACCTTCTCTAACGCTTGAGTGAGTTCGTCAGTTTTCAAAAGGTGTGATTGGTATGATACATGTATAATAATAATGATAAAGAGAGACGACAACAACAAGAACAACAGTACACGTTACCTTCTTGAAACCTGTCTTCAGCCGGTTTAGCTTTGGAAAGTCTTCTTGT